AGAACACAACATTCCGATCTCCTGCGAAGCACGAATGCATCCTCAACCGCGCGTGAAGAATCTGTGAAATCACCAAGCGGCTCCCTGGAGAACCAGTAAAACTAGTTTCGGCGGATCGACAAAGAGGATGCTCAAGTGCACAGCCCTACAAAACGGACAACGGAACGTGAGTTGCGGCTTCTGATGAGTTTTCTCATCGTTGTCACATCTACAAGCAAGCACTTCAGTCACGCGAAGAACATTCTAAAGAGAAAGAAATGCACATAAGGGCCGATTATCAGTAAATATATTCATTGATTATACAGCTACAAAGAATCTTGAACATAAAAAGCTGTCAATACTTCTTGATTAATTGAAGAGTAACACCATAAAGGTTTCCTCTTTTCCACATTACATTAAAGTCATTAATGCCTATTGCTGCCAAATCATGCAATCAAATTTAAAATATATTTCAGCAGTTGTTTTGAAGTGGGGAGAAATTAGGGCAAATAAGACTATTATTTATATATCAACTTGCCTGTTCCTCCTGAATTTTAGTTAAAAGTAAATATTTGGAGTAAAATACAAAATATTATGTTACACCTATTTAAAAAAATGAGATTTGCTTAAAAAATAAATATTTGTCCTCTATCAATAAAATGGTTTAAATACAATTATTAATGTGACACATTAAAATCAATATTAATTAAAAAGATTTCAAATCCAGTGAATTTCAAGAATTTCAAGGTTAAATAATTTAAATACGAAAGTGTACACATATTCCTATTATTATAAGAGATCTGAAAATCCTTTTCACAAGCACCTCACAAGGCTCAAGATGTCTGCAACAGCTGTCGGACACCGTCCGCTAAGCAAACACCATAGCAGCGGTGCCGGCGGCTGCGGAGCCCAGCGCGGAAAACGTCTGCCTGACGCGGAACGCTATTTCGGTCCGAAGGTCATCATCCACCCACGAACACGCGCCATTACCCATTGTGTCACGTTCCGGCGCGGCTCTCACGACCCCGGCCCGGAGGAGGCGCCCGCCGCCGACTCATCA